TTCATCACCTCATCATGACGAGAGCAGATGCTCTGCTGGAGGTTCTTGGAGGGATTCACCAGCTTGTGTTTCTTTAACGGTGGAGCATCATAGTGATGTTGTATGTGGTCCTCACAGTAAGAAGCTGGACATGATAAACAGGACTTGACAGCTTTCCTCTTCCTCCCAGTGCAGACGTCACAGGCCACATCTTCAGGTCCAGCAAACCAGTCAACAGGTGGAAGGGTTTTGCGCTTAGTCTTCTTTAGATCTATCACCAACTTTGCTAATGTGATGTTTTTCTCCAGTTCAGGCCTCGGTTTGAACTCTTTCCTGCATTGAGGGCAGCTGTATTTTCTCCTCTGATCTTCTCCATCCCAGTGGTGTTTAACACAGTTCATACAGTAACTGTGTCCACAAGGAATAGTCACCGGATCCTTCAGTATTTCCAAACAAATGGAACAGGAGATTTTATCCATCTGAACTCCTCTCTTCTCCATTTCAGCTCTCAGTAACGACTTTGAGTTTCATTTCTTTGGAATAGGAACTAGTTTCAGTTTACGTGTAAACATCAGGTTGCTGCTCTGTCAATGGTCCCACCCATCATGACGTCTGCAAAGCAGAGAGGGAGGGAACAAGGAAGCTCTTTGAGCTGAACACAGCCTGCTAACCCCGACATATGTTTGAAAAACTGAGTGGAGGGGAAAAGGTTGTTCATCTTACGTTGCAGTGCTCCATGTTTTATCCCCAGGGGTGAAAGTAGGCGGGTACAGCAGGGTACTGCGTACCCCTAAAAGATTTGGCGGGGGTACGCAGTACCTGCAAGAGAAGGAGCGGCTGTCTGCAGTAAAGCATCATTGGGTTCACTGTGCAGCAGCGAGTTCGCCCACTAATCAGCCGTGACGGATTAGTTTTACAAGAATAATCTAAAACACGACTTAATCAGTTAATAAATAGCTTTTTTCATATTGTTTCTGAACTGTTCGTGCTCTACTAGAGCAGCGGTGCAACATGTCGATCTCGGCTTTAGGTGAGAAACTGACCGCCAGGACGCTGAGACCAGCACGTCCTCCTCTGATTGGCTTATCAAAATGTTCCTAACTTTATTAAAGAACAACAACAACAAAAATCAACAAAACGTTTTCAACTTATTGACCCAACAACAATAATAATCTCAGTAATTATTGTTTCAACAAGGTGTTGCGCAGTTCTGTGCGTTTCGGTTCCAAAATAATGATCAGAGCAGGAGTTTAAATGAACTAATCAACCACAGCTGTGTTCAGAGAGGTTTATTCCCCATTGGATTCCACGAGAAAACAAACTGCAGCTGCTATGACAACATCAACCACAGTCAAACAGATGGAGACAACGAATTATGCATCAGAACTCTTTTTCCCAGGTTTATTGTGTTTTATCTCTTATTACTTATTAAAATCCCAAGTCAAAGAGGAAAAAACTTTAAAATACGTGTATTTTATATTGGGATAATCTCACACAGAGACATTTTGAAGAATTTAACCTTTAACCTTTTAAAGTTTAGCTGACCTAATTTATGGGTCTTTGTCTTTGGTTCATTTCTATAAAAGTTACATAAAATAGCCCCATAACTTGCTAAATTAGTAGTTTAATTAATAATTGATGTAATTAATTGTATTTTTATAGCCAAAGTTAAACCCATTCAAGTACATTCTTTTTGATTGCCAGAATTTTGACACAGAACATTTTTGGCGCCTGGTCTGACAGGCCTTTCAAACTAAAGAATTGTATGAATTGAATTAATAAATTAATTATAATTATTAATAAATACTTGAGCCAAACAATGAGAATTCTGTTTTCCAGGTTATGGTACTTTTGTCATTTTGGCTCAAAATAATGTTTTATATAATACTTTCTGCTGTGCTTTATTCCACACAAGAATTATTTCATGTTTGAAATATTTAAATTTTTCACTTTTTTAAGCACTTGTAAACCAATTTGTATAACATTTGTGACGATTTGTATTAAAATTATAAAGTAAAAGTAAAATACTCAAAACAAACTCAAGTCAAACTTCAGGTTTTCTAAACAACTTAAAAACCTACAATGTACAGTCAAATTGTACTTAATTACAGTAATGTGTGAAAAAATAACAAGTTACAATCCACCGTTACCTTTTCAAAATACCAATGAGTTCTCAGGAAGTCTATTATTCACTCATTTATTTAGATTTATCTAGGCTGGGTGTGTGGCACCACATCCAGGTTATGACTGTATGCGACTTATGTGTGAACAGTAGTCAAATTTATTTCAGTTGCTTTTATATGTTATTATTTTTGAATTAACTGGTTACTACATCTGACTTCTTCTATACAACAACCATAAAATCATTCACAAATAATTTTCTTTGTCACACAAAGCTTCAAAATGGGGACAAATAAAACCGTTAAATTCAGTAATTATTTTAAAGCCTGAATTTGAGTAACTTATACAATCAGTGCAGATATTAAGTCATCTGATCTTGGAGCAGTGAAGAAATGAGACAAAAATGTGACTGAAATAGACATTTTACCCAACTAGACCTAAGATCAGTTCAGACTATTTCACATCAATCAACTCAGCAGAGCCGCCATGATAAAGAGAAATCCCAGCATACAGAGGCTGAGTGAATCTGGTCTGGACTCTGTGGAGGAGAGTCATGGTACCAGAGATGCTGTAGAAACACAGAACACCTGCTCTGTGGTCCAGGTACACTCCTATTCTGGAGGAAACTGGACCTGGTACTGGAGTTCTCACATCATTGTGGATAAATATGTAACTTTTTTCATCACAACGCAATGCCCAGGAATTACTATTTGATCCAAATACAGATTCATTTACCTGTCGTACATTGCCAAAGTTCTTCAATGAAACTGCTACACGAAAAGCGCTCCCGCCCCACTCCACCTCCCAGTAACAACGTCCAGTCAGACTCTCTTTGCTCAGAACCTGAAAACAAAAAGTACCTAAACTTGGATTATAAAGACGAAATTGTTCTGGATTAAGCACAACTGTTGCTTTTCTGTTCTCCTCAGATAATAACAGAACTCTGTCTGCTGTGTTTGGATCCAGAGTGATTTCCTGTGAATATTTTAAGAATTCGTCTCTGTTTTTTGGTTCTGGTTCTGACAGTAGAACATCCACATCAGTGACCGTCAGTTCGATGTTTGTCCACGTGTCTCTCAGGACGTCCTGTAGTTTGTCTCTGAGCTCTGACACAGCTGCTGTCACGTCCTCAAAGTGTCTCAGAGGACGGATGTTGATGCTGGATGAGTGTGTACAGGTAATATCTTCAAAGTATGGAGAAAGGGAATCTAAGCTGGAATATTTGGTCGACTCCCTGAGTGCTGGCAGTGAGGGGTAGTTGAGGAGAAACTGGGTGTGATCCTCTGTGTGTGAGAGCTGCTCCAGCTCAGCGTCTTTCCTCTTCAGCTCAGTGATCTCCTGCTCCAGCTTCTCCTGA